AACAGGAATATATAAAATGTGCTCAGTGATTTATTTATTTATTTTCTATAGGGGAGTTTGAAGTAAATTTGATATTGCTAGGTGCCAGTTCACCTTTTTTTATTAGTTCCTTTAAAGTACTACTTTTGCCGTGATCCTTGTGAACTTATTATCTTCGTCATTTTAGGCTTCGGGAGTTACCTTTGCTCAAGGGTCATGGCAGGTATAAAGCTGCAAATTCTTAATATTAGGACGATCCAACAGCACTACAACCAACCAAATATACTCAAACAGAAATGATTAAGAAATCGGATACCACACATACAAAAGCATATTTGCTTACAATGTTTGTTTACGTATTGAGGTTTGCATGGAATTCTGTATTGTTGCTACGATACCTTGTTCTACCAAAAAACTTAGCAAACGGACTTGGCATTTGTCCCTTGTCCATAATATTTTCCACCCCGTCTGACCTTATAATTTTGATTTTCTTGCTTTTGTTTCTGAACTTCTACTTTATAAATCTTGAAAGCATCTAGTTCTTCATCCTTATGATTTAGAAGATAGAGATACATTTATCTTAAATTGTCATCTTGAATGAGATAAAATAGACAAGGAGTAGGAAAGGGTCTACAAATATCTATGTGAAATCTTAAGAAAGTCTGAAATCTTTTTGGCACTTTTAGTGGTCTTTTTTGTCTGCTTTACCTTTATGCAGTCAATACAAGTTCCGAAATTTTTACCTTTCTGCTTTGGGCGAGAGTGACCGTCGTTATCAGCGACATTGGGATACTTCACTCGCTCAGATCTTAGGCGTTTTGCAGGATTGGGCGATAATAGTTGTCTGCTCGTGGGCTGTCCTTATATTTTACAATGGTCTTATTTGGGCTCATTCCTCAATTTCCCTAACTGGGTTTCATTTCTTGAACCATATAATTGTGCCTGACTTAATAATTGGACCTCATTTGACCATTAGACCTCATTCAATTGGACCTTATTTTTTGTATGTCAGCTGTTAAAATAACATGTCGAAACCTCAAATGACATCTCTAATCTAAAGATCTTGATGGGAGAGGTTGAATATTTACTAAATTCTCGATTGATTGTAAATACTGAAATTTGATATACTTTGTCTATGTTAAACGTACGAATTAAAACTGACACTTTAAATTCTCCAGCCATGTTAAACATAAATACCTTTACACTTGGAGATTATAATATGCATAACTTGCAGATTATAATATGCATATAAGTCTCAGCATAGAGTAATTATAATTATGGAAATAGGAGCGTCCAAATTTTATACTACTGAATTCTCAAATGAAAATAATATATTACGTTGGACACAATCCATATTTCATTTAAAAGCTCAACATTTAATAATCAATTTGAATAGCATATATTTTTACTTAAACGGTGTGAACATCACAGCATGCACTCTTTTAAAATAAGACATTAAAATAATTCAAATCAAATGAAAAATTCCCTTCTAAAATATTAATCTGCCTCCTTAACTATTCGTACTACAAAAAGTAGTCGTTTACGTACTTAATTCTCCAATGAAAATAATATTTATCGTGGTCGTTCATATCAAATTCAACTTAAAATAGTGATTTCGTGCACAATAAACTGTATAACATTGGTAATGCTGTAATTTAAGATTCTGCTTTCTTCAAAAAACTGGATAACTGAGGATGAAGGTGGCTCTGATACCATATATACGAAATAAATTACATACCTGCAGCCATGTTATCCAAGATCTAATTGAAAAATCTGAAGTAGAAATGAGTCCTTGAAGCATCAAACTTCTTCTAGCCAATACCCACTTAATAACCCCTTTAACTTGATGGAAATAAATACAAGACTTTCAATATTAAGAGATAAAATCTGCAAGGAAATTTTTTTTTTCACTGATTTGTCTAAGGTCTCTTTAGTATATATATAAAGACAATCACTACAACTTCCATCCATCATGGAAGTTGAAGGTTCTTTTCGTGCAATAACTTCCCTCCAATAACCAACAGGAAGTTATCGTTAATTAACCCACCATTTAAACTTTAAATTTATTTAACTTTATATTGACCATGTGGACCACAAACGATTTACAGTTGGAAGCCACCGCACCAAAGACCAAGCCGGCTCAGAAATTCTGCGCAGATACACATCAATAGGGTAACCATCTGTTGGCCAACGATCTGTCCAACGATTAGTCTCAGATCAGGGACGTCAGCTTTCTTCATTGCCCAATAGAACGAATCGTACAAGAAATCGAATGCATTGGTGCAATTTAGGCCGTTGTCATCGAGCACATGGAATTTGGACTTGCGAGCAAAGAATGGAAGTTAGGGTCCAAATAATTTTCATTGCAATAGCGAATGGGGTCAATATCTACGGCAGCAAGAGCATTATTTTCTTTCAAAAATTTTAGATAATAAACCATTTTATCCTTTTTGTCATCAAGAAAATAAGCCTCTGATGGTTTCATAGAGCGGTGCTTCACAACATTAGTGCAAGGCGGAATGGTTGCTTTCACAAGATCTCCGTAGCCAGCATCATTCAGCACAATTTCGATAAGTTTCAACACATCAATAACATTATCGTAGGTTTTGTTAGTGAATGATGTCGATAAGGGTTCAGTCCCAACATTCATGTACCTATAACAAAACCAATGTCGTCAACAATAACAAGAATAATTATAAATTTACAGAATCCCCTTAAAGTTGAGAGTCTGATAGTGAACCTGACTCCTATGATGATG